TTATTAAGCAGCCTATTTCTTTTAATTTCTGCAAACTTTTTTTATGCAGTTTTAAGTTAATTTTAACTCGATGTTTTGGTTTTATGCGATTTTAGAAAATTACGGAACGTATCCCTACTTTTTCAAGGCAAGTAAAGTCTTTTTTTATGCGAATTTTTTTTTATGTGCTTTTCTGTAGAACGTATCCACCGCATAAAATGAGACCTTACAGTATACATTTGTTACAGATTATTAACTTTTATCAAAAACTATGTTTTAGATGAAAACTTATTAGTTTCTATGTAGAATTAGAATATGCAACAAAAGATTGGGTTTTTATTTAAGAAAAATGAACTTGACTTCTATTCATTGTCAGTAGCACAATCTAAACTGAAAATTATAATGCCATCTTGTGTTCCCGACAATATCAACAACTTAGATCTGAAACATTTTTTATAAGAAGCATATTTTTCAAGATATTTTCTGGTAACATTATAAATGGACCATCCTGTATAAAAACGATGATGTAACATATATGTTTCATCTATGTAGAACTTATAAAAACATACATCTTTTCATTCTTTTTGAATTTTGTGTATTTAACATGAATATCACATTTTATTTCAATTGCCATGCTTTCTTCAGGCACAATTAGCTAGGCCTTTACCTGAAAATTTTAGTTTTGTGTCATGATCGTAGCCTATGATTTATCTCAGTGATTAGACTTTGTAAAAATTCAAATTGAATTTTTGATAGTCACACACCAGTAATGAAATCAACAAGTATATATATTTGTGTTCCAGTGACAAAAGACAATAAATTTTGCACTGACTCATCTCATGTTCAAACTTTTTTTTTATCAAATGTTTTGAACAGAGTGGAATGAAATGTTTAAATCATTAAATTTCTCAGATTTTTAACTTTGTGTTTGCTCAAATCATTTGAGTTAATAATCTGAGAAATTTAATGATTTAAATTTCATTTTCACCTATAATTTGTCTTTTACTGATTTAAGAATGATACGAAATCATTCAAATAATTTTTGAACTGATTTTTGAATCATCAGCATCCTCACTAAACTTTCATAAAGATTTAATGTGTTTCTGTGATTGTTTGAAGTAAAGTATTATATTTATAGTTCAGTATAGCTGTTGTTCATTTATTACAGAATAAACCAAGACATGACTCCTTAATCATATTTAACTCAGTGAACAAATTGAATTTGAATGTGCCAACTGCTTTATGGAGACAGGAGACATAAACTTCATCCATTAGTTTTGTATGATGTTTTGTACTGTACATTGCCACTTACATTCACCATAATTTTGATCAAATTTTGTATATTTATAGCATAACAAGTACATAAGCTTTATTTCATCCATTAGTTTCATGTACTAAGGGTTTTTCTTTTTAACTAATTGTAAATATATTTCTAATTGAGTGAACTCATTTACAAATTTCTATTATGAATTTAAATTATACTTTTATTTACTTTCTATTAAAGTCATAGAGTTAATTTAATGATACAATTGTATAATGGCAAGTCAACATAACAAATTTTTGAATTATGATTTTGGATTGATGATAAGTAGTAGTATTATATACAGCAGGGGTGGCCAACCTGCGGCTCGCGAGCCACATGCGGCTCTTTGAAGGATTATTTGTGGCTCTCGATAAATGTACCCGAGTTCCCTTTTCATTTTTGTGTTATTATATTTTTAAAAATTATCATCATTCCGTATGTGTTTCAAAATGTCTTAAATTACTAACAACAAATATGAAAGACTAAGTGCAACATTGTAACAAATTTCATTTCCGTCCAAGTTAAGAATGATATGACTCATCGAAAACTGCGCGAACAAACATAAACAGTGGCATAATCGTCCGTTATCGACTGACTCCAGACCGATTTTGAATTTGTAAACTCATTGCAACGGACAGTTGACATTGTGCTCTGGAGGAAACAATTTGTATCACTCTTGCTACAGATATAATTTGTAATCTGGAATTTTTTGCATACCTTTTTAATACGTATTTAATTGCGGCTCGCGAAAAATTTCAAATTTTGAAAAATGGCTCGGACTATCAAGGAGCTTGGCCACCCTGGATATACAGTATTATTAGAGAAGTTATTAAATACATACATCATTCATCAGTTTATTCACATCCTTATGTCTTTTTATCATTTGTTGACCTTTAATACAATAACAACACATCTAATGTTAATGTAAAGTTGTCAGTTTTGCATTGATATAATTAATAATAATTTGATTTTAAATAAAATTTTTAAAAATTGTCAAAATTTATTTTTATAGAAAGAGAAAAATTAAAGAAAGAAAATAGAAAAATTTTTTTATCTGTAAAATATTAATTATTTTAACCTTTATTTGAATTATTTAAAATATTTTCAGGCAATTAAATATGATATATTTTATGTAATACAGGCTGCCCCTCATTTTATGCCAATTGACACTAACATTAGTTTTAAATTTTCCCAAAAATACATAATTTTTTTCACAATTTATAGAATATTTTTTCAGATGCTAAATGCAAATATTTATTTTATGCTTGGTGGCAGTGCTAATAGCAACTTTGCTTTACCCTTAAGCCCATAACCCGAGATATCTCGGGCAAGTTACATAGCGTTACGAAAAACGCGGGCGTTTGGGCCCCCCAATTTTTTTTTGAATTTTTGGAATGTATTATCTCCAAATATAACATAAAACTCATTATTAATAATTGACTCATGGAGTGAACAAACAAATATTAATATTTATAATGCAGTATTTCAAACATCTATAAATCAAAATTCATGTGAAGTACTAATTATTCCACCAAAGTATATGTCTATATGACAAACTTTAGATGTTGGATTTCATAGACAAGTAAAACTTTTAGCTAAAGAAATTTTAAATGCTATACAACTATTTTGTAGTGATTCTTCAATGAAATTGTTTTGGACAACTAGAAATGGCATAATAAAATTTGTGCCAATATTTAATAGTTTGATTAAATATGCATGGTTTGCTTTTGGACTCGTACATGAAAAATGTGAATTTTTAAATATAAAACAAAAGTTTGTTTTCTTTTTTTTAAACACTGACAGTTTAAATTGTGTTGAGAATAATTGCCAAAATCTTTGATTTGTTAAATGTGCACGATGTCAACAAGTTCTTTGTTTATTTTGTTTTGTTGAAAAATATCATGTAAATAGTTGCCCATTTAATAATTTGTGAATGTAATTACTTTTCAGTTAAATACATGTAATAAAATGTATTTACTTATTATGTTTCGATTATTTTCTTTATATTTATTCTATCATTACATTTATGTTATTTTTTATTGTTAAAGTATTACATATATTTAATCTTTCATATAACATTTATTTGAGTTTATTCCGTATTCTACTCTGTAAATATAATATTGTCATCTTCCTCTGTGACCCTTTCACTACTAAAAATTTGCATATTTGTGTTAAACTATTGGGTTGTTCGGAAAGTAATTTCATTTTTTTTTTTACCACTAGACGGATTAGTCATATTTTTCCCGCCATTTTCATTCTAAACCATATTATCATTATATATTTTTACAGCTAGTATTTTAAGGCTTATTTGTAAAAAATTTTGTTTGATTTTGTGCAATTGTTTGTTTTTTGTGTCCTATCAAATATGGAAGATCGAAAGCATCATTTTCGGCATATATTGCTTTTTAATTACCAAAAAATCTGTTTAAGCAAGAAAAAAATTGTGGTACATGTATGGAGAAGATGTTTTGACAGAACAACGGTGTCAAAACTGGTTTACAAAATTTTGTTCTGGCAATTTCAATATTGAAGATGCACCACATTCTGGATGGCCAGTTGAAGCCAATGAAAACAAAATAAAAGGTACTGATTGAAGCAAACTGCCGAATAACAACACGTGAAATCACTAAGAGATTAAATTTGTTGAACTGAACCAAATTGGTTTCATTTCAAAGCGTGATATATGGGTTCCACTTGTTCTTAAAGAGAGATGCTCTCTTTAGTGTGATTTTAAGGAAATTTTTTTTTTGGCGCTTTTACCGGACAATTTAACAATTGATTCAAAGTGTACTGCCATGGAGTAAATGAATTGAGTAATATCATCAAACAGAAAAGGTGGCCAGAATTGATCAACAAAACAGGTGTAGTGTTTTACCATGATAGTGTCAAATTTCACACAAGTTTGGTAACTCGTCAGAAACTGTTATAACTTAGATGGGACTTGCTATCACACCAACCATATTTGCCAGATCGAGCACACTCAGATTATTATTTGTTCCGGTCTGTACAAATTTTTTTTAACTGTAAGACATTTACCTGAAATGACAATGTCAAAAATCACTTGGATCAGTTTTTTGTAAACAACAATCAAAACTTTTATGAATGTGAAATCATGCTACTATCAGAAGCGATGACAACGGGTATTTGTCCAAAATGGTTGATATATAATTCAATAAAATATTTATTTACAGTATTATAAAAATATTGTGTTTTTTCCCACAGAAAAAAAACGAACTTACTTTCCGAACAACCCAATAATATAAAATAGTATGACATTTGATTGCTATTAACCCTGATTAACAGTTTTAGTGAATATTACAAATTTAATATAGAGTTTATATACTTTTAATGTAATTATTAACTAAATTTTATTAATATTTATTAAAAGACACTCCAACAGTTCCCTTGTAAGTTATAAATTCTGTAATTATTATTAATAATAATATTATTAATGTTGTTTTGTGTTAGTAAAAATTTTGGTACTAAATATATTTTTATTGAAAAAATTTATATATATTCTTTATACATTTCTGGATACTTGGAATACATTACAGTTTATACTATAATAAAATGGGTTTATTTTGTGCTGATTTTGTTCACACATTTCCCTCCAGGAACACATCATTGGCATAAAATGAGGACAATCTGTATTAATAAAAAGTAAAATATTTTTATTTTAAAAAATTTTAATATTTTTCAAAATTTTGTTTTTATTTAGCAAGATTTATTAGAATAAGAGCAGAATGTAACTGTGTTAGGAGATGGCTATTTAAGTTCTATTTACTATCTTCAGTGGACCATTTACTTTGGCCAATTATCTTTATAGCTGTATATATAGCCATAGGTAAGTAAAAAATATGAAAAGGTTAATTTTAATTTTTATTACTTTATGAAATTGAGTTTATATTTTCATTTACACTAATTTAAAAAATTAAATAGTTATTGAATAATTAACTATATAAATGTAAGTATATATCAGTGTTTCTCAACCTCTAAGAAATCATCTCCCCCTTCAATAAAATCATTACCTATTATCGCCCCCTTCACTCCAAAATTCCGATGCCGAGGACCAAGACTAACGCCAAATTCGTACTGAATTGAATAGACTAGTGACTAGTATAATATTATTTGTTTAATTATTGTACGATATAATGAATAAAATATCTAATTATTCTTAATATAATGTTTTACTATATCGCCCAGAAAATTGTTTTTCGCCCCCCCAAAATATAAATTGTTACTAATCGCCCTCTCAACATGGAAAAAACGCCCACATGGGGGCAATATCGCCCCCATTGAGAAACACTGGTATATATAATGTATACATAAATATCTTTGTTAAGATATAAAATGTAAGGTAAATATATTTGTTTTATTTTATATACCACACGCACACTTTAAGAATTTAAAATATTGTAATTAATAAGGACAAAATAAAAAATATTTCAAATAACTCAACATTTAGGATTGAGAGAAGGTCAAGTTGTATATAAATGTCTAAAATGTATTATCAAACCAGAAAGCTCATCATTGTAGTGTTTGTCAACATTGTGTTAGAAAAATGGATCATCATTGTCCTTAGGTGAACAATTGTGTTGGAGTAAATAATCAAAAATATTTTATTTACAGTAAGATTATATTACTACTTTGATTTTACATGAAAAAATTTTGTACTTTAAACTAAATTGAATTTTCAGTAACTTAAAATAATAAAAGTTAAATGATTGTTAATATAACAAGAATTTAAAATTACATTATGAATTTTATCATCAGAAATTGCATTTTAGTGCATTACATATCTTGTTACTAGCTTTACATTTAATTTGTTATTAGCATTTAAGAAAGTAATCCATTTGCTGTCATTGAAATGATTGTTTAATGTCATATAATAATAATTTTAAAAAAATTACATACAATGTATACATTCCTTCATAATTTTAATATTTTTAATGTGTATTTTTGCTAATCATATTACATTAAGATTAGTGAAATCTGCATTAGCCTACCTTGTTGACTTGACTAACTTATTGACAGTATTTAATCCAGACAGAAAGACACTAGTGGGTTGAGCCAACTGAAAATTTTTTACTTTTGCAGAAATGTTTTTGACTTTCTTGAAGCCATCATCAGCTATTTAAATAAAACAGTACAAATATTTATGTAAAAAAGTTACATAAATGTTTTTATTATTTTACTACATGTGCATGAAATATATATAGTTACGAAAAAGAATGTCAGTATGTTATGAAATGGTAAAATATATAAAAATTCACTCTTTCTTGGTTGTTTCAAATAGATAAATAAATGGATATATCTTAAATTTTTATTTTTCAAATTAATTTGTTATAAAAGAATCTTCAGATATGTTTTTACATTAAACTCTGGCAAATTCTCAAGATAAAGACATCTGTCTATTATTTTGAAATTTAAAACACATAGTGACAAAAAAATTAGATATAATTTTTCCCTCAGAAAACTATTATGCTAGGATTGGTATACTACAAATACATGACATTGGAATTAGTTGGGATTAATTTTTTGAAGTGAGAATGGTTGAATATCTCTCTAACAGCTGGTCAATCTGTTAGAATAATATGAAATTATTGGAATTTAAAGTCTGATAAATTAGGAGTTGTATTCTGGACACATCTCTTGTCTCCTCTTTTAGTGATAAATGACATCAGTACAAGGGATGGAAGTCATCTTTCAGAGAAAAGATGATTCTGATAATATTTTATGATCATGTTTTTATGATTGGAAACAGAGTTCTGTAAAAGTTTATTATACATGTTTGGGTCATCCAAGTATACAATATACAGGGTGCAGCAGAAAGAATGTTCTGATTTGGCAGAAGCATTGCTTCGCTCATAGTAGAGGTATAGCAGTGTGCATTGTCTCTTTTGATTTGTTTGTGCATGCCATTTTTAGTTACCATTATGGCATGGAGTGGAGAGCATCGTGCTTTTGTTGTTGATGAGTTTGTTACGAATGGTGAATCTGTGATAACGACACAATGGGGGCCTTCCAAATACGCTTTCAGCTTGGACATCATGATCCGGTTTTGGCTGCACCAACAATTCATCATTGGGTTTCAGATTTTAGATGAGCAGGTTCAGCTTTAAAAAGAAAGAGTCCTGGTTGCTCTAGAAGTGTAACAAGACTGGAAGATGTGTCAGCTGCGAGAGCTTCCATACAGCAGTCTCCCAAACGATCTGCACGTAAACATTCAGCTGCATTAAACATGTCTGATCGTAGTCTCTGCAGACTTTTACACGGCTTACTCCACATGCATCCCTACAAAATGATGGTTGTTCAGGAGGTGAATGATAGAGACTATCTAATTCGTAAAACTTTGTGTCAGGATATTCTGCAGAGCATTCCCCCAACAGTAGTACTGATCTCTAGTGATGAAGCCCATTTTCATTTATTGGGGATGGTCAACAAACAGAACTTTAGGTACTGGTCTGACAGTAATCCTCAAGAACTCCATCAGTGACCACTCCATAGTCTTAAAGTTACGATTTGGTGTGCCTTAGGTGATTTCAGTGTGTTGGTTCTTATTTCTTTGAAGAGGGTGGTGTTAGTGTCAGTAACATCAGAGCACTATTGTGAATTGCTTGAGAATTTTCTCTGTCTATTAGTTAATGGTTTACTCAATGATCATGATCTGGAAGATGTATGGTTTCAGCAAGACAATACCTCTTGCATATCGCATATTTCTAGGTCACTTGGAATTCTCAGAAACTTGTTTATGGGTCATCTTGTCTCTTTATGGGGTGATATTGGTTGGCCACCGTGCTTGCTGGATTTGGTCCCATGTGATTTTTTTCTGTGGGGCTATCTCAGATCAAAAGTGTACCAACACTGACCAACAAATTTTCAAGAACTCAAGGCACAATTACGCAAGAAATCATGGTGATTCTGCTCTTTCAGAAATTTCGCAGATCAATGCGAAATTTCTGAAAGAGACTTCAAAACTGCATTGACATTGACGGTCGCAATTTAACTGATGTACTGTACTCTTCAATACCTAATGAATGACAATGGCATCAGGTATAAAAGATTTCTTTCTCTATCTTGCTTTGTGTTTTTTTATTGTCGTTCCAAATCAGAACATTCTTTCTGCCGCACCCTGTATAAGAGAATTTTAACCAAACTTGTTTCTTTTTTTAGCAAACAGAATACAAATAACTAAATTGTGCAATTCATGTTTTAATAATTTTAAAATGAATAGAAGAAATAATCTTTAATTTTAAGTTTACAAATTATTGCAATACTTAATCTAAAAAGTTTTGTTATTTATTCATAATTAGAAATTTTCAAATTTGATTAAATTATCCTTTTTCTCATCATTATTAAATTGTAAATTATTTACAAAATTTTAATACTTTAGACTTAATGGAAATATTAACTGTGAAAGATAATAATAATAATAATAATGTAAGGAATATTACAAAATTTACTATTAAATTGTATCTTTCAAAATGGGATCACAAATATTTGATAATCTCCTGTTAAGTTACCCATTGTGGCTGACACATAAAGGCCACTTGTGGTGATATGTACCCATGCGTGTAGTCACAGCCATTTGTAGGTTCATGTTTTTTTTTTTTTTTTTTCATTTCTTTATGGTAAAGCAAGAGCAAAATGGGTTTTTATTAATACTTCCAAGCAATTTGTTTGTTTAAAATACTGTTTATCAACTTTTTTTTCGTTATTTAGAAAGTTAATATTTTTAGTTGCAGCTATGTACTTAAGTTTTAAGTTGTTAAAGAATGTAGCAAACATTATACACATTTTTTTATAGCACTGCGCAATTGACATTTCACAATAGTTTAAACCTCTATCATAGTAAATTCCCATGTGAAATGGCACAATGATACACATGCCACCAAAGGACATAGCACATTAAGTTGTGTCATACATCAGCCATGATGGGTAAAGACCAAGAGATTATCAAATATTACATAGATGATAGTTTTATATAATGATGCCTGATCTTATATCGCTAGAAGAATTTACTTTTTACATACTTATCAATGATGCTTTTATTGACTGTTAGTAAAATTGTCTCTTTTAATAATTCTGTAATGATACAGAGCTTACATAACAAATTAGATCATATTAGATGACAAACCATAATAAAGTTTGAATTGCTAAACAACTGTGTGAAATATTGGTCATTACAGAATATTTCAGAGTAGTATGATTCAAGCAGAATCTTGAATATCAAATAAAATATAGCTGTGTAAATGCATTATATCATAACATACAGGCAGTGGTGATATTCGAAATATATAACAAAGGGTTCCCTAACAGAAAATTTTTCCTTAACAATTTTTTTTCGCTCAAATGGTGCATTAGCAACATTAGCGCAAAAACTGACCTTAAGATACCCATATAAATAAAAAAGATGCGTTCGCAAAATTAAGTCAGTTAAAGTTTAACATTGTTTATGCCAGAACTATATATATATA